CAAATGGCTTTCTGTCCCTAACGAATGCTTCGTGCCATTCCTGGGATGCAAACCAGCATGTGCCTTGGAACTCCTGCGACAGGGAAAAAACAGGTCTACTAGGGACCTAGATTAAAATCCAGATTTCTGAAGAGATATTCCTTCATTCAAAAATCAGTTGAGCAAATAGCAATGGCCCAGCCCTCTTTCACCCATCAGGTAGTGCAGTTCTTAAATATCTACCACTTGTTTCATGTCTTGAAACAACAGCCCATACAGTATTTTTCTTCTCCTAATGATTTGCTATTTTAAGTAATACTGCATTTGTTTATTCTCTTCATTATGGTCTTTGAGGAGAACCAATCTACAGCCAAGGCAGAAAAATGATCTGAAGTAGACTTACCTGACCTGCTGCCAGGCTGTGCTAGATGTGCAGCAGGATTTGGAAGACGGGACACCAAGTGAGGGTGCTCGATGCTAGAGTTCAGGGGCGTCTGAAGGCATGCCCTTGCAGACACCGTCACGGTCCCTCACCACAAGCCCATCCTACCTATTGTACTTGTTTGCAGGGACAAACGCCGAGCTGGTTGCATTTTCCATTTGTAGTTTCAGTGCAGTGGGGTAAGTGGGGTCTGCTGAACGGTTGTGTAAAAGCCCCCCATGATTTATAGCTGTAAAGACACCTTTCAGCCTGTGGTTAAACGTGAGGTATTTCATCTCCCAATACATGGATAGCAACAGAAATGGGGTGTGGGCAACAGGGCAAACCTGGAGATCTCTACCATTCCCATAGCCAGGTGCATATGGGATACAAAGCAGCCCTTTTCCAGTCATCCTCATTTCTATCAGCATGGGGAAAACCTGCTGCTGTCTGCAAAGTGGAAAGAGAGACGAAACAAGCGGCTCTATCCCAGGAGCCTGCCTGGCATTTCAATTAGCCATAGCTGGGATGATTCAGCAACAAGAAATGATCCTGGTAAGAGCAACACACTTCTGGGAGATGACAGGAAAGAAGTATCATTATAGGAAGTCATGGGACTCTGCAAAGGCATGGAGACTGTAGTAGGATCAGCATCTGGATGAGCTTGGTGAAACCAGCTGTCCTTAGTGTGTTCCTGGTCTCAGTCATACATAAACTCGGGCAGGGGGTGGAAATGGAAAGGCACAAAGGGGTGCTTTCTGTTAAAGGGAAGGAAGAACATGTTTACAGTATCCTCAGCTTCCCTGATGACAAGTTAGTTGTGTAAGTCACATATATAAAAAAAGCATGCTACTGGCAAGGACATGTGGGTGAGGAGAAGTATAAATCCTTGGGTTTACAGGATGGGAGAAGACTAACTGTAAAAATTTCACTCCCCTTAAGGCTGGAAAGACACTTCAAGCATATATGGACCCTTTAGCTTTCAACTACTTTGGGGGTTGTCATCTGATCTTAACCTCATGGAGATACCTGTGCTCAGCTTTGATGAAGGAGCACATAAAAAGTGAATTTCCAATATTATTCAATAAACAAGTGCTGTTAATTGGCATAATTTTTCTCTGCAGTTTATACTAAATTCTGCTTTTAGTTGCAGTGGTACAAATCTAGACTTAATGCCTTGGGTTTCACCAGAACTCTTCTGTATTTACCTAGCTTTCAGGAAAAATATTTACACTCTTAATAAGAGTGGAAACTTTAGGGAGATACTTGAAAAACAAGTGAAATACTGGTCAGGCCTTGCTGGCTCAGCCTAGTCCCTTAGTTTTCACACACTGCGATCTCAGTAAAAAGATTTGCAAATCTCTTTAAGACTCAGACCCTTCTTTTTCACTTGGAACAGTCTATGGTTAAAACAACTATAAGAACTGAAGGGATCTCATTAATAGGCATGCAGAAAAAAGGGGCAAAATGTGTTAGTATTAAGTATTTCCTTGTTGACACTATTTTTATAGCAAACCCCCAAACTTCTAAAGCAGGATTTATGTAATTTCCATAGCAGATATTTGAATCTCAAAAAGGTCTAGAGTTGACAAGATTTGGAGGTTTATATGCTTAATTCCATGTTATAGAAAATATATTTTGCTGAAGTAGTGATTCTTTAAGGCATTTGTAGCTCATAGACACATGGTACACATCTTGCTGGTATCTTTTAAGAGTAAAAGCTATAGGAAGCTCATTAAAGGATAGATCCAACAAAGTTTAAATTCCACACTGATCCCTGGAGATTTTATCCACCAAAAAGTAATTTCCAAGACCTCTTCAAAGACTGAAACATAAGAACTGATAGAAGATGGCAATAATTAATGAAATCACTTTTAATTAAAAAACCTTAAAGCATTCCCTTTTTGCCACACAACCACTCATTTGAGTCCAAAGTTAAGCTTACAGAGGCCCTTCTGTCATAACCTAGATACTTCCTATTCTTTTTAGATATTAGATAAGGACTTCTCAGGGGCTTGTACTTTTTACACTAGCTTCAGAACAAGGTTGAGTTTTTTTCTTGCACTTGTTCAATCGACCTTGAACCAACAGACATTAGAAGACCACAGAGTGAGTGGCAATGAGCATACTGAGACAGGCAGGCTGTCTCTCTAAATGTATACGGCTTCCCTGGGATGCTCTTTGTTTTGATGTTTTTGCTATTCTAAGAATGCATTTCAGGTAGGGAATATTCATCTGGCCTTCTCTTAACAGACCCGTCTTTCCAGAGCTGAAAATTCATCGGCGTTCCTTGAATAATGGTGCTCAGAGGAATGCTACCGTTGGTCAGATGTCGGGTAAATATTCAAAATGTTAATTTTAAATTGGTAAAATGCAGTTTGGCTTTAGGCATAAGGTATTCTCCTGGAATACTTATTACAGATCGACAGCACAGTATGAAGGTAAAGCCTAAGGCTATAAACTTGATATTAAAATTTCCATTTATAAATCAATAATCACTGCAAACAAAACAGCCAACTCAGTCCTGTGAATGCCACAACTCTTCCTCCGGCACAAGTTGCCTATACAGTTTGGTAAAAATCTGAAGGGAGCGTTACAAAGCTGAAGTGTACCTAACGGTTCCCTCTACTAAGTGTCAGACCTGGAGGTGCTGGAGGTGGGCACGGCGTTGCTGAAGGAAACACAGCCTTTAACATGTAAGGCACTACAGAAACCCCAACGTAAAGTGAACTAAGCTGCTTGGACTCGTATCTGAGGAAGCCACTGAGCAGGAACAGCCTTGGTCCATCGATGAACCAACCCAGAGCCAAGGTCTGGCACGGCACATCCAGCACAGAGGGTAACTTCAGATACACCCAAAGGACCTTGGTGCAGAAGGCAACCAGGGAAGAGCTATGTAATCTCACATTAGAGATACCTTCACAGGACGAGTTCAGAAAATGCCTAGAAGTTTCTGTCCTGAGAGCATCTCCTGCATTTACTTCCAAAAGTGGAGCAACTGGATGCCCAACCAGTAATTGGGCTGAGACAACTGAAGATTCCATGCATCTTTCAGGAGCTCGGAGCCCAGACCTGCCTGCCCACTGCTTACCAGCTATCACATCACCTCACCTCAGAGCCCTGTTTGCAATTTCAGTTTGTTTTCACAGCGTGCGTATGAACCCTGACGTGCTGCAGAATGCAGTTCCATATGGATATTTACTACCTATTGTTTTAGAAGAGACAAGCTATTTTTCTTTTCCAAACTGCAGAAATCACTCTCCTTCTCCTCCACACACACAAATCTTTTGTTTGTCTCTAAAGTTGCTGTGCTTGGCCTCTGGCCAGAATCCCTTTTTCTGCCTTGAAGGAAGGTGACAGCATGCCTTTGAAGAAATGCCAAGGCTGCTGTTAGGCTGACCAGCAGGGAGCAATCCTGCCCAGCACTCCCTGGCCTCTCCCAGATGGCTTTCTTCCTTTCCCAGAAACTCACAGTCTTGGAGAAGGCAGAGGCTGAGCTGATCACAATTCCCAGAAGGTATTTTTAAGCAATAGATGAAGTTTAAGCACAGAGAGAGAAGGGTGGAGTTGGAAGACACATCAGAAGATCATCCAGCCCACTGTCTTGCCCCAAGGCAAATCCAGCTGTACCTACAAGATGCTGTTGACAGATATTTGTCCGACTGGTTCTTACCAGCTTCCAGTCACAGGCAGTAACATTTCTGCAGGCAACCCAGTCCAGCACATCACTTAGCATCAGAAAGCTTTGGTAAATCTACTCTCTCTAACTTCAATTTAATCCTATCAGTTCTTGGCTGAATATGGACATGGAGAGCTCATTCATCCTATTGTTCAGTTCCTAACAGTACTTTAAAATACAGAGAAGCAAGCTGTAACTAGTCACCCCGGTCATGGTGCCTGTACTTGTTGTGTCTACAAAAACACCACTCTTCTCTGCTGACACAGAGCCTTTCTCATCAGCACAGTCCCTCGACACTGACAGAGAGAGCTGACCACGGGTTCACTGGCTTCATTTCCCACAGTGTCTTATATCTTTTCTTGGAAGATCATCCTCCAGCCACTGAACAGACCTAACCCCACTGACCTTACAAATTTAATTTGCTCACATGCTAAAACTGCTACATGCTTATAACAAGCGGTGGAAAACAAAAGTTTATGCAAAACTAAAAAACAAAGACTTTAAGGAAGCCTAATAATATAGTTCCTGCATTACTTTACTTCCTACACATTCATCTTAGTCTTGGCCTCGGGATGCTGTTCATTTCCTATTATGACTGATACTCAGTTGGCAAGATGATGAGAGAAGGTGAAATTCTGATTCAACACTTGCAATTCAGTTTTGGAGGTTTTTTCTTTCAAATTAACCAGTTGCTTACGGCATTTTTTTCTCTCACACTGGTAACAGGGAAATAGAAAGGTACAATGGTACATGTGTGTTCTGATAACAAGTTTAATTGCCTCAGCTTGAGGGGGATAACTGCAAGAAGATTTAACAGGTGTTGAAAAGGTTTTTCTTTTTTCCCCTTAAATGTTCCTGAATCACAAAACAGACCCTAAAAATTTCCCGCTGTAACTTGCCAATGCTTACCCCTGCACTTACCCAGTTGAGGGGTTCATGATGCAACCCCCTTTATCAGTAGATGCTTTGCAGTTGCAGCCCCTCTCCAAGGTATCATGATTCATTCCAAAATTGTGTCCCAGTTCATGAGCCAGCGTGACGGCTGCACCTAGAGGGTTTTCTGAGTGATCCTGAAAAAAACCCAGAAGAACTAGTGAAATCAACACACAAAACCAATTCAAAATACACACTCCCCCTCTAAGGTCCTGCTGCCTGTCCTTTGAAATGTTTTACAAACTTGCCAGCTGTAGTTACACTGCCGTAAAATTGACACAATTTTAAATTCATCCACGTATACCAAGTGCAGACTGGGAATTTCAGGACAAGCTAGCTGTCCTGGCCACCCAGTTTCCCCAGCACATTAGACATTTAGGACCACTGGGCAGCTCTGAACATCTGGGCCATCTCTTTATTTAGCACTTAAAATTGCCCTGACCCATAAACCCCCCAAAATCCCACGACATGGCAGTGGCAGAAAGCGGTCACCCAGACGTGGAGTGTTGGAAAGGGTAAGGATGAGTGTGATGAGGGAAAAGTGAGAAGATCCTTTATGTCAGGAGGTAAATTACAAATGCAGCAAGAGATCACACTTAGTCTATTTAATATTCTTCACACTGTTTCTTTAATATCACAAAGTCCAAGATTTCACAAGCCTGATAAGAAAAACCAAGTACCTTTGAAAACCTTCTTTTTAAAATGAAAGGACAACGCAAGTCGAAAACTCTGATGGCCTCTTGTTAACACCTATGAATATTCTAAATGTTGCAAGCGTCAAAATTGAAATATTGACATTAAACCTTGTTGAAATGCTGATTTTTGGGACAATTATTTCTGAGAAATTCACTGGATGATCTGATAACAGGCTGCTGATCTGGCTGATGTTTTGACTTAACCACAAGTAAGAGACCTTTCCATGTCCATCATTTTCCTTGAGGGAAAAGAATTCCACTGCACTTGCATGAAAGCTTTCCCTGAAGGCATAAATATATAATACAAATGCATGATCCACTATCAGTCAATAAAGGGAATTACTATGTACAGCTGCCTTCTCTAAAAGCATATGTGAATCTATTTAGTTTAAATAACTCTTTTAGTATCATCTAAGCCAACCTTCAGACTAAAAAGAGGTGAAAGGTAGAACTGTCTAAAACCTTAGCTACATATTAATTAAGCCTTTAATATGTGACTTGCAGTAGATTTAAGAGTTTCTTCTTTCATCCATCCGTGCTAATATTTTTAGGGTACCATTTCTCGAAAAGAAAACAAAATAAAGAAAATACAGTCGTTCTAAACTCAAGAAACTACTCCTGCATTTGGAGTAAACTCAAAAGAATTTTACCTTTTGATAAAGGATCTCTTTTTATTTTTTTCCTGACTTGTAAAATTTTAATAGAAAATTCTTGGGACTAACGTAACAGCCAGTTTGTGTGCAGTTATATTCTAAAATGCCTGTTTGCTGAAAAGAAGCTATACAACCTGTTCTAGTAAAAGAAACAAGAGTAAACCCATGCAGCAAAATAATCTGTAATAATCCAGAAAAGATACACTCCTGCACAATGCCTACCTAGGGAGATGTCTGACCTAGGTACTAGTCACATTCAGATAGATTTATCTTACTCACAGTAATTTATGAAATACTTAAGAGAATGCAATGTAATCAAACCCGATGTCATAAAAAGAGCACAACCTCCCACTCAACTGGAAAACAACCCAGGACCGAAGATAAGGAAAACAATGATATAATTTCACATAATTTACCAGCAGCACACTGGAGTGATGCCTTGAAATTATGGCTATGTGGTCAAGACAGAAACTTTGAACTACCTGGCCAGACAACAAACTGAGCTCAGTTTTATTTCATTTTGCCAGTCTCTCTTACTGAACAGAGACTGTACTTACTGGAACGCCTTTAAAGCTGGCAATTAAAAATAAAATCAAGAATTCACACAGTCCATTCCAAAACTAGAGCAATAAATGATCTGAAATGTAATTTGGGTCTTGAATAAGCAAACAATTATTACAGCCCATGCGGTTCTCATTACTTGCTCAGATCTACTTGGAATGCAATTTTATCAGTTTCTAGAGAGGGTTTTTAAAACAAAGAATGTGATGTCTCAGCAAAAGAAGTTATTTGAAGACAGCATAAATGAAGATTATCAAAACAAACAGTGACATGTCCCATTTGATACTGAGACCATTTAAGTACCACAAGGACTAAAGAAATGAATAGCAATGTGACTTTGATTTATTCCACCAGGGTCTTTCAAAGTTAACTTGAGCAGTAAAAGTCATTACCAAACAGTTTCACAACCACTGAATAAGCAATCATCTGCTGTTAAGACACTACAAGCTGTTGCACAAAACATGCAGCTGCTTTTAGCTGAACTCCGCCTCATTCCACTGAGATTCAGATCAAATGGTAATAGTAAAATACTGTCACCTACAGCTAGAACAGGCAAATGCCCCAATCCTGGGACTCAACTCACTTGTAGGAATAAGCTTCCCAAACCACACTTTAATTTCATTTAAGCAATTCACTGAAATGTAAGTGCCTCAGTTCCACACTTGTCATTTAGCCTAACTTCCCACTGAAGTCAACAGAAATTTGACATGAGTAAGAACATTACATTGCATTACAGCAGCTCGGCAATATTTTACTTTTAGATCCACGAATTTAGTGGGCAATGTTTTGAAACAGAAAAATGAAGCCTGAATCATGTGTCAAAGACTTGCCTTAATGTCAACTCTTGTTTGGTTTTTCTACAACACAACAGAACCAGCCCAGCACAATAAAATTGTAATGCCCTTGATGCACCAAAAGCTTCTCATGCTCAGACGACTGGTTTCCCCATTTTGAGTTCCTCTTAAAATTGGTGAGAGACAGGGTGTCACCTACCACTGAGAGAATTCAGCCTTACAGAAAAATAAAGAGGGGACAGCTCCCAGGGAGACAAGACAGGAATTGAGATTGTGTAGTGGAACTAACAGCAAAAAAGAGTCAGGAAGATCAGGTCAGACAGGGGTGACTCCAGTTTTTGTATGCAATGTTCTTTCTCATGCACTCTCTCCACTGTCCCCTCTCAGAACAGTTTTGAGTGTGTGGGAGCTTTTAGGTATAGAGTGTTCAGGGTGGGATGGGTAAGAGGTTGGCCGAATTGTAAGGATGGCCAAATGTCCAGCTGCCCAGTGTTGAGAGGGTTGAGCTCCATAAACTCCCAGTTCTTTCATTTGCATGTCTTCAAAATGTAGAGCTTTCTTCTCTAGGTACTGGTATATACAAACCCTTTGTCTGTGTACACCTGAATTAGCCTTTCTTACCTGTGGGGAAGGCTGGGCAGCTGCCCACTCAGGTTTTGAGGATGAGTGTTTGCTTGTTTGGGATCTGGCTCCTTTTCGAGGATTTGCTTAAAGAAAACATTTCTAGCTATGCCGTGCAAGCCTCGAGTTAATTTGCACCTCAAAAGTTTCAATTCACCGAGGTGGGAGCCTGGGAAACGTTGCGCTCCCCTGCACGACTGAAGCTGCAGCCTGGCCCACAATTCAAACACAGACACTGGGTTTCTCCTTGACATATAAATCTGTCTCTTCTCTCTCAGAGCCCTGACAGCACTTTAAAGAAATGCTGATTCTTGTTTTCTTATTACTGGAATGAATTATTTTTTTGCTGTTTCTCTTTAAAATGACCGTTTCCAGAGTGAAGAGGACTGACTTTGCAGTAAAATACACTGTGGCGTATCTAAAAGCTCATGCTAAAAATTAAAAGGACAAAAAAGGCATCATAAGGTCATCTCTGACTGCAGATAAAGCCAAAACAGTGACGGCTGGTCTGAGGGTGAAATGGATAAAATGGGGCTGTCTGCCTCATATATGCCTCTGCCAAGATTTGGAAATGCACTGGGAGACTCCTACAGCTTTTTCTTCCTCTTTTCCTCCTTTTCCTTTTGTACCTATCACACCAGCATCCAGTGAAAAGGTGCTACAAACACCAGTTGGAGACTGAGCTTCTAAAGCTACCAAGAGACTTTATCTTTCCCATAATTTTGACATGACTTTCTCCAAATTATGTGATTTGACTCTTCTTTCCAACTCCCCTACACCTCAGCTTCCCTGCTCACCTCATGAATTCTCCCAGCCTGGATGGACTGTCTGGACATCCCCTTCCATGAATGCACACATCACCCCAGCCTGGCTTCTTGCCTACTTGCACAACAGACTCCAAAGGGGTCAGCACGGTGGACCGACCACAGCTTGGACCCTAGTTAATGAGGAAGGAAATGCAGGAGCTTTACGGGTCTGTGTCTCTGGAATTATCCCACTGTGTGGATTGCCTTGGAGCAAAAGCCTTGGTGTCCTGGGCTCCAGGTTAGCCCCTTGGAGCTGTGAAGAACTGGGAGCTCTGAGACCACACAAACTCCGAGCGTTGTGCGTTGAGCTCCCACCTCACATGGGGATCTGCAGTTGAGGTGCCCAGCAGAGCTGGGGGGAACCACCACATCACCTAAGGTGCTGGAAGTCTCGAAGTCTCGACAACGCTGTAGGAAACACAAAGGTTTTCAGCACGTGTGGGCTGAACTCAGACCATCTAGAGGTTTTCAGGGCTCCCTGGCTTTCTGAGCTCTGCGGTCACCAACCAGTGGCCTGCAAGCTCAGGGAGTCCACATCTGATTTTATTTAACGTACTTCTATTGCAGAGTTTAGTTAATGAAAACTTCTTTCCCTGCCCTTAGCACAGGACACTTCAAAATCTAAAAAAAAAAAAAAATCAAAAAGAAAATACTCCAGAACTGCCCCCAGAGCTTGGCTAAGATGGTTAGTTGTACGTTCACCACAGCACCTAACAACAGCATTACCAGTAATGCCCTTTGAGAGAGGCTCAGGCAGAACAAATGCTGCCATTGTTTGTTCTCCTTGTCTGGCAATGTAATAAACCCACTGTGCTGCAAAGATGGAAAATAAGTCCTTACACAGGAAACTCTGTAAATACAGAATAGAATCAATATAATAAAAGATTCAGGATAGACTGTTGTTGCCAGTAACACTAGTATACCCAAGTGCATAACAAATACATCTTCTGGTTCCCACCCTTCACAGCACCTCAGCACCTGATTTAATGATAATTAGGAGTAGAGGATTCTTGCAAAGAGGTCATGCTATATTTTAAAGCAAGATATTTATTTTTTTCACTATGGAAACAATCATAAGCAACCTGAATGTAGACATACATAATACTGAGATTGAAAACGGGACAAGTGTGGCTGATGTTGTGGTACAGAATGCAGTACCACAAAACCTGAGATTGTGTCACACCAGTTGGGCCAGTTTCAAGTCCTGTGCTTTTACCACTTACCATGACAACCCCTCCAGACTGTTCTGCAGTGCACATACTCATTATGGGCGCCATGCCAATGGTAGTCCCTTGGAAGTACACCCCGCTGCAGGAGGGAGGGAAAGGAGAAGAAGAATCAGAGAATCACCGTTCAGTGCCAAGATACTGATCTATTATTTTCAGTCTTGTCTTTCTGCCAATCTCAAACAAAGATCCCATTTCAAATGTGTCAGCTCCAGACATTTGCAGGTTTAAAACAATGAAAAGCACAGATTAGTCATGCCGACTTGCCAAACTGACAGCCACAGCATCCCTGCTACGGGAAAGATCCATTTGATCACCCTCCTTTGGGTTTACTGCTGTAACAGGACCCTTCTTTCCTTTCTTTTTTCCTTGACCGAAGTTGGGAATAGAAATACAGACATAAAAATGTCTCTAGCTCAAATAAGGGTTATTTTAATGCAGTGGGAAGTTTATATGCTACTTGTTACAATACAAAGTCTAGAATGTAATCATTCCAAACAAAGTATGATTATACATAGGGAATAACCAAATATCTCATGAGGGACAGTTTGGAAGGGCTCACTATTGTTACACAGATAACGAGTAAAGAGCTTCTTTTAATTACTAAGATGTCAGGTATGTTTATCTCTATAGAATAAAGAACAGTTCATTGATCAAAGTGATATGTGGTTCAATAAAGAGGAGTTTCTCTTCTTATTTTTTTAAGAGTGCTTTTACTTTTAGCATGTTTACTCAATTACTTTAATCCAAGAAATGGCAGCAGGGTAAAAGATGTGCACAATTTAATTGCTAAGTCACAAATGCAAACAAATTGTCCAATTGTGACCACATTTTTACGTTTACTGAGGTCTTCCTACTAATAAACAGGCTTCACATAGTGCACCTTTAGTTCCACTTTTGGGGTGAGGGCAGGACTGCCTCTTTCGGTAACAATTTAGACAGACACCAGCTTAAACCACTTATAAATTCATACCCTACATATTTACCAGTTTATTACACATCTACACTTCTACCTGAGTTGTAATCAGGAAAGGCCTACAAGTAATAGAGATATTGCAGAGCAGTGGAAGGAAATTCATCTGAAGTATCTGCTGAAGGGCTCTGCAAAGTGCTTTTATGTTTGATGTTTGCCAAGGGGAAAGACAAACCCTCAGGAACACCGAAGTTCCTCCCAACAGCTTAGCAACTGGGGAAGAATTCACTACAGCTATTCCCAAATCACTGAAATCCCGGTCGATATTAAATACAGTGTCAAGTCTACCTTATTAGCTGTGCATTGTCATGGGGTTTACGAGGTAGTAGTTTTAGCTTTCTCCAGTCCAGAAACTCATGGAGGCTGGTGAAAGGGTCTTGAGAAATAGAGCACTTATCCATGTCGTTCCATACTTCCACCCCGACCAGGGCTACTCGAATATTTAGTGACCTATAGAACTAACGAGAAAAGAAAAATAGAAACATGTCTCTAAAACCTGTTTTAGACCACATTAGATTAGAATATTTCAACACAAGCATAATGTGCATATGAACCTTTCTTGTGGAGGGTCAAAGGGTCTCCTCTTCCAGGGCAAAAGGGAACACCTGATAGGACTGACTCAGACAAAATGTTTCCATGACTGAGAGAAAACAGTTCTGACCCGACTAAATATCCGTAAGGCATTCAAAGACATCCAGAGAAATGTTACTTCTCTACGTCCCACCCAGGTTTGCACATGTCCTTCACTTCTGAACAAACTCGCTGCTGTGGCAGATGTCGCTCCACGGCTGCTCTCCGCCACTAGCACCGCTGCGATTCAAAAGGCAGAGGCAGCTGTGCTGCACTACGGTTGTGGTTCAAAAGAGGAGCCCAAAATTCAGCCAGAGCCATCGAGTCTTCCTCACAGCAGATAAAACCAAGTGATTTTAGCAGTGTGGGCTGCATACACTCTTATCACACTAGGATAGCCACGGTTGCTACAAGAGGGGAGACGGAGCAGCATTAGCAATGGAGCAGAGATAACAATTCTCAGTTGAGACGAATGGGAAGAAGGAATCAAGTCCAGATTTGGGTGACTGTCTGAGAAAAGCATATACTAGATGTTTGTCTTGTTTATATGCATTACAGTAATTTGGATAACATTGGCATTTGCTGAGCATAAATTAAGCATGAAACATAAATATATTATAACGTACAAAATTAATTTTGAGCAGGTAACATATAAACACCTGTCCTCCAATAATAAGTCAGCAAGACAATTATGGAAGAGGTGGGGGTGTCTTCAGCATCTTGTTTTTAATCAAGAACTCTTCTCCTTGAGTTATTGCCCTTGAAGTATCACTTGATAAGTTCTCAGCTAAATTAACACACCCTTAGTTATAATTTCACTACTGGACTCCTAATTTTTTCTGACTATTCAGCACAACAAAAATAAACTTTAATATGCTCAAAAACACTCTAGAGGACTCTTAGCATTTATTGTTTATTGTCAAGAAATTCAAATACAAAAAACATTACAGTGTATGTCTCTTTTCTTACCGTTCTCACTCAGCCATCAACTCCCACTTCCCTAGGCACTACATGTTTTTAATTCTGACATCTTCCTTGGGCTATATATCTTATTGACTGCATCTTCACAGGCCTTTTGTTGGCCTTACAGCTACACCAACCCTTGCTGCTGCAAAGGAATTTGTTCTCCAAATTCCTCCTCAAAATAGTCCTTTTTCTAGGAGTTGCTCCATATGGGATTATCCTCACCCTCTTCCCAGGTTAATAAAATCCCAGAGCTACATTGTACATCTCCTTAGGAATAGGGCTGCCACAGATATATGCATCCCATATATAGTGCATGCATTACTGAGCACACAGCTCACAGCTTAGTATGTTGAAGGGCATACAAAAGGATGAAGTTTACTTTGTGGGTTTTACTGGTTGGAGAGAAGCATTGCTCTGAAATACTGCAGTATTTGGACAGCAGCAGGGTTAGCTCTTTGCAAAGGTGGGTGGATAAGGAGATGTGGCAAAGGTTGTGAAAGCTGTTGATCTGAGCACGGTGGGTGCACTGGAAGGGCATGATGGGGACAGAGTCCCTAATAAGAAAGGAAATACTAGAAATGCACAACTTATTCTTACCAATAAATCTCTGTCACAAGCTCTTTTTCTTCCCAAGAAAGCATAATTTTTAAGCTTTAGAAGCTTCCTTAACTTTCTAGTAGAAGAAACATAGATTTCACAGCAATACCCTTCAGAAAGTGTAGTGAGTTTGGAAAGAGTGAAATAATACTCATGTTCTTACCTTATCAACATAGTTTGCAATTTCTATCAGCCTCTGCTTAATTTTTTCCACATCCTTGCCTTGTCTCTGAAACTTGGAATGTAAAGGATCAATGTACTAGCAGCACAAACATCGCAGTTTCCCCCCAACAGCCACCTTGCCAGCACTGTCCGTGATGCTTGGGGATTACACAGTGCAACCAAAGGCCATCGTCACACTCACGCTGGCTTTGTGGCACCAGGGTTGGCCTTAGAACAAGCACAGGCTATGGGACAGGATTCTGGTTTTTATGACAAGATTTTAAAATCCCTAAGTCACAGGGATCTTTCAGGGACTGATGTTTTATGAAAAGGCTCTTCTGTTAGCTATTTTGGCTCTTGCAGCAAAGTGATTGTAATTCCCTAACTAGCAATGTTCAAGGTGATAAAAAAATGTAAGTAGCAAAATAATTCAAACCAAGATTTGGATCTTTGGCTTCCATTCAACTCCCTGGAACATTTCTACAGCCAGTTCTGGTTACTCACTTTGAAGGTCTCTTTGCAAACTGTCAGGAAGGCAGCTGTGCTTCATACAATGGGATGGTAAATACTGCTTCCAAACCAAGTGCAGGATCCTACAGCGTCTTCCAAACAGCGACAGACCCACCAAGGGCAGAGTCAGAGAAGGCAATGAAGACTTACCTAGCTCTAGGAGATCCTGGGCAGTGTACTTGCCTCTTCTTGAATTACTGCCAGATATCTCAGTTATTTGAGAGTCAAATCCCTTATGAAGTATTGCAAGAAACATTTACAACTGACTATGAGCGTTGCCCTAACAGTCCTTTTCATTGCTTAGCCCTCATTAGGGAAGAAGCTTTAAATTCGAAAACCACCATATTCCTGTCTGGACCACATTACTTGCAATACCATGGAACCTGAAATGAGCTACCCATTTCCCACCCGTGCTTCCCATAACTTCTTAGTTCTGAGTTTCTTACCTCACGATTATCTGCCACAATAACAAGCTCCACATACTTGGTTGTCTTCAGAGTCTCCCTCTTGTACTGCCAAAAAAGATCAAAATAGTATTTTGTTTTTGCAATAAGTGACCCTTGGAATCAGCGCTCCCTCAGTCCAACAAAGTGCTTCCAAGAGGAGATACACAACGTCTCAGGTTCCCAAAGATTTCACTACATACAAATTTTCATCGTATTTCTTCTCCTTATGGATGTTTTCCTTTTATCCACCACAACAGAAATAGCCTGTGTAGTACTTAGAAAAAAACCCTCCAGGATTTGATCACAGCAAGCAGGGAAGTGGTGCAAAATCTCGCTCAACCTTCCAGCTTTCTGCAGTTGTAATGTTTGAGTCGTCTTTCCTTTCAGGACAATATCAACTCTAGCAGAAAGACCTTTGCTATTTTCAAGGTACATTTAAAGAAATTATGAGATGACTTTTAGCAAACATTTCGCACAATAGATCAAGTGGCTACTAAGAAAAATGAGAGATAAAGGGATATTGAGTGAAGCAGAGGAGAGATCAAGTGGTCAACTGATAAATTATGTAGGAAGAAAAACCCAAGGAAAAAATCTGCAGAAAAAAAAAAAATGAACTGTCAGTGTCTGGGGAAGCAAACTGATGCTCTAAAAATGGAAGGCATACATTTAATTTTGTATCTGTATATTCAGATAAAACAGCCCGTCATGCTACTTGCAGTTCTAAAGGCAGGTCTAAAAGAATCATAATAATTAGCTGAAACATGATCACCAAAGAAAATGAAATGATTTTGCAATAGAACTAACACAGCTAACTAGCACAGTTCCTTTGTTAACCTAAATTCAAGTGACCTCTCAATGCCTGCAAAAGCTCTGTGATTTACAGCAGCTGAGCATCTATCCTGTCGTTCCCCCTCTGTTTCTGGAATAAGACAGTTAGGGAAAAGAGGTCTCAGCAGTATATCTGATCTTCATGCCAGAACTTAAGGAGCTTAAGCAGATGTATGACCTACTAATGACCACGATGTCTTGAACTCAACTAATGCTCTGTAACCTAAAACATGCCTACAGCTTTCCAAAGCAAACTGTTCCAAGTCAAACCATATGATCCCCTAATAAGCACAGTCAGTACTGGACATCACTTTCCAGCCAAATTCCACAAAGTTTTCTTCACATTACCAAAGTGATCCTCTTTGTTATCTGCAGATTAATGATTTTGAATGCTTTACAAGGAGCACCGTGTTTAGAGGAAGGTGACAGATGCAACCTTTAGTACCTGATTTCATGGTGTTACACGGCCTTCAACCTACAGTAACTGGGAAACAGTTAAGTTCCATTTGGGCAGTATTTATGAACTGAGAAGGCAGTAAAAGCTATCATTAAAAAACTAAACATCAATGATACAAACACTTCACAGGATTACACTTATTAGGGGGTCTGGCAAATGAGCTCAGGTAGATATTCTTACAACTTCTACAGTGCTCTGGCAGAGCTCAATTTACCTCCCTGCAAAATATATCAGACATGAGTGAGATGCCATGTAAGGCTAATCACCATGTGGGTTTTGTTTGTGACAGAACTATCTCTCAGATACTGAGAGTCTAGCATAAAACTGAAATTAGTATGTAGTCCTGATCAGAAATGAACCCCCAAGGTGCCTCTAGTCTTCTTCCAAATGAAGAGTAAAGGTGAGAGATGAAAATCCGGGAACAAAGACAGAAGAAGAGCTCTGTTGCATCAGTCAGTTTAAACCATGTACTTTTTACTGAGAGTAAAACTGTTTGGACTGGAGAGTTAGCCTGAGGGAAATTGGCTAGCAGGGTATGATCATGTAAGCCCTGGTGACTGACTTGCATAGCAAATCCGTTCCTGTGATGTGCCCACAGGCTATGTGCATTCCTTGGATACAGTATTTAGTTATAAAATGTACCTAATTATGACTTCTTTCAGCTTGCTTTCTGCAGCCAACTGCATCCCTGCACAATCCATTGCCTGAGTTAATCCTTCAGAACTAAAATGAAAAGTCAGTAACACAGCCATGACAGGTACACGTGATGGGAGACAAAATGCTTTGTTCCACCAACCGCTGCCTCTCTCCCCTGCTTCTACCATACCTGACGGTAGGCAGCCTCTCTCTTTCTCCGTGATCCCCTTGCCCTGAACAGCTCACCTGCCTGATCTCTGGTCCCCCAGCTCCACCAAAATGGCTATTTTATGTGGCTACAGACAAAACCCCGTACTGTAGGGGCTGACACATCAGGCTCACTTTCTGTAGGATCCTATCTCAATGGAGCTCAGCTGGAAAACACACTCCCTGCTGCAATTTGAGGGTCCGCTGAGTTATGAAATGACCTGGCATTTATAGAGACCCAGCTCCAACAGAGCGAAACGTGTCTGCACACATATGCTACTTTATCTGGCTTGCTCTATTAAATCTCGTGTTTGGAACTGGGAAGGTAAGTCTGCTGTTTGTACCATCATTTATCTGTATTTAAATCTAACCCAAATGCTATCTAACTCTGGTATATTGGTATCACAATTCAGCTCTTCTCAATAAGCAGTTTGTGTAGGTAGTTGAGTGAAGGGTCAGGGGAAAAAAAACCCCAAACAAAAATATTTTCCACCTAGTGCAAGGTGTCCCTGGCCATGGCAGGGGGGTTGGAACTAGATGGTCTTTGAGGTCCCTTCCAATCCAAACCACTCTATGATTCTATACCCCACAAACGTGCCAAGAAACTCAAAATTTTCATCATGCGCTAAACCTGAGACTGGATTTCTGCCGCCTTCTGTCACCCTGTGTAACTTGGAGCAGCCTTACGTCTGTATTTTGCAGGTCATCGTTATTCAGCATGTCCTGACAGTCTACTTAGCTGATGACAACACTGAAATGTGAAAACTCACTCCACACATTACATTTGACAACTTTCAAAATTCATACATTAGAAGCATATCCAACATACTCATTATATATATATTGCACCTATCCATACGATGTGACTGTTGGCAGTTTTATAATTATGTCCACTGAACCACAGCAAAAATATATTTCAGACCTTTAAGGTGAATTCTGGCATGTATTTGAAGCCACCAACAAAATGTGAGAACCATGAGGGTAATAGTAAAATTGTTTTTCTTGTGTCAGCTAGTTGTTTTATTTCAGTTGCTGAGTGTAACATTGATTACTTCAGTGAAATTCAGTCAAAAGTCACAAAGATTTTGGGGCAACTTTAATAACGTTGTGAAAAGCACTTCTCCAGTGCTTTCGGACTACACCCAGTTTAAGAAAAATGCTTAGCCCAGAGGATGATATATATAAAGACTAATGCATTCGATGTAATATTTAATATTCCCGAGATGTAAAATAACTTAATTCCACTACATAAATAATATCTAGGGATGCCATTTAGGTTGCTTTCTTTGACAATTAACTTGATGAAAAGACTTAGTAGTACATCTATGTAGAAATCCCAATATGTGACATTTAATAAATGCTGAGGGCAAATTTGTATCATTGTATAATTTCTGAACACTCAAACCAGTCTTTTCTGCAATCCCTATCCAATATGCAGATGACATTATTACAGTATTTTCTCTTCCTGAATTTTAGCTCATTTAATTTCCTACAGTTTCCATTAGCTAGATGCATTTCATATTAAGTGCATTTCTTCCTACACAGAATTACAATAATATGTCTGTAAAATAATATGGTGAGAATTTGCTTTGTCTGGATAAGATACTTTCCTAGTATAATGTAAAGGTTTAAAACCCAATACTAGCAAAGCATCACAGCTATCATGTTCTCTTCCATCTCGAGTGGGCCAGAACTTTTCCAGACATTGCTCAGTGTTCCTATGGGATCTTAAATTCTTGCTATAATCATACACGAACCAAAACGTGTTACTATAATATGAAACCATAAACTTTTCTGTGCCATCTCATTACCAAAAAGAAAGTAAGAAGCAAGTTATGCATGCAAGGTCACGAAAAAGTAATAAACCTTTAGCTAAATGTAAGTATATGCTTAATTTTAAGCATGCAGTTAAGAACATGATGTCAACAGAAATAGGAAGGTCTAATGTTTTGCTCAGCAGGGACTTTGCAACAGAGTTATGGTGGACAGTAACATGGAATGCTACCAGAGACATACTCAGCAAACCAGACACGTAGAAGTGCATCATCCACCTACCCTGCCAGCTGGAGAATGGTGTGATGTGTCACTGTCATCAGTTCTCATGGCAGAGATGTCCAGCTGGTGGCCACAAGAGCCGGGGGCTATTTTCAAATTCTGCGCTTGGTAGATCTTGTGTTCACTTGTAGCACCTTCTAATGGCTCCAGAATGTAGCTTTTGTTTTCAAAAACAATAATTCCCCTGTTACAGAACAGAACGGAGTAAGATGTATGGTTTTCAAGAGCTAATGCATATTTTTCTACCGCAAAGTTACAACAGGTTTTAATAATGACGGAGTATGAAAAAGCAAAATGCTGATTTACAGTGTCATGGTTGGGTGGAGCAGGAAACATCAAAGCTGTATATTTTTCACTGCAGCACACTATACTTTAAGAGAAGCAATGGCTCAAAGAAAATTCTACTCCTCTGAAGTGCTGTACTGTAGAGCAAAATTACATTTGGTTTTTATGTGTTTTCCATTCTCCCAGTGATGCATCACCATTGCTGAGTGGAGTCACGACGTGTGTGCTTCTGAGGACCCGTGGCAAACAGTGATGAACAAAAAGTGTGGTGAAATGCTTTTGTAAGAAAAGGTAGACAGTGAAAGTATTCATTATGATCTGCAGCGTGCATCACACCTTTTAAACCAAAAGCTGATGCAAGCATCAATTCTGCCAGATGAAGAGGCATTGCAGTATCAAAGTAAGGGCTACCACTGAATAGTGCACAGCGGGGCAGCAGAACGAAGCTCAGATATATTAACCACTGGATTCCTGTTTAACACATTTTATTACCCAAAATAATAACTTCTACAGCAACACCACCTGCTCTCCGAGGATCTCAAAGATTGTCCATCAGTGGAAGTACTCCTGCTGCACTACTGCGAGCTACAGTGCAGAAAGAGAGGTTTAGGAAGAGATACACCTTGCTTCAAGAAACCTGTGGAAAAACTTAGGATGCCTAGCCAATTCTGGGCTTCATGTGCTGCCTCCTAACCAAACACCACTCTCCCTGTGTACTCCAGACAACTCACCAAATAAAAGCCGTGCTTGGGCTCTCTTGCTGGGTCCTGTCCACCCATCCTGAGCTGCCACAGTAAAACAAAGTTGACCAAAGCTTGAATATCTTTACAGTTCCTCCTGCCGAAGAAGCTGCTGGCCTAAGGCTGCTCTTCCAGCTCAGCACAGAATTATAGGCAGCATGGTATGGATGTCCATGGTCTCCGCATGCTGGAATAGGATTTCTAGTACTATATGGCGTAAAGTAGGATGACTTCCAACAACACCACTGGAATTAGTAATCGTAACGACCACTGGAAGACCACAAGGTAAGAAAACCGCTCTGCTGTATGTCAGGACTGGCACAGCGTAAGGCAGCACGCAGTAAGTTTACAGACAGGGCTCAGATAAGAGAGGAGACTTTAATGATCTGTGCCTCACTTGCAAGTGTCCAACTTGCTTCCCCAGTGCATACGGCCAACCACCCAGGGGGGTCCTAGATAACTCCAGCGTCAAGCTGGACGCCAGCTTTTGTCAGGTAACAGCGTGACCAAAGAAAGGCACGCTTCAAAACCCCTTTCTCATGTCTAAACTAGGGGTAAGCATTTGCCTATGGGATGTTGCAAGCATTCATCAATTAGACACTACACTGAATAGTGCATTGCATTACTAATTTCTTCCCTGTCTTTAAATCATGGAGGCATTAATCCGTAAAGACTGGCAAAGGTTCAGCAGCGATAATACCCTCTACCTACCTGGAATTCCTATGGAACTTTTAATCAGCCAAGACATTCTTCCTCAATTCCTTCTCTAAATGGCTCTATATTGTCCATACATGCTATTAAACAGCAATTATTTTCAGCCCAAAGCTGGCTACATTTTATTAGTGTGTCTTTTTGGTGTATAGGAAGTGCCTGCTCTTTTTATTTCTGTCTGTACTGCAAAAAAAGGTAAGAAACTGCAACCACTGGGAGACCGATATGTGTCTCTATACAGTTCTTCTGCAGAAAGCTAAAAAAAAGAAAAAAAAAGAAAAAACCCCAAAGCAGGTTAATGACACCATAAAGACTGATTTAAAAATAAAAAGCAAATTTATTAGGAAAAAGCTGCTGTAGCTGTTCTATTCTTAGCAAAATATGATGAAGAAACTCAAAGTCGTTGGCCTCCTAACCAGTTAACTGAAATTTTCATTCCAAGCTGACTGCACAGTTTTGCTACAGAACATCATTAAATCAATTCAGACAAGGCAACAGATGACCATTTTACTGTTAACTAGAACAGCTAGAAGTCCAAGGGAAAAAATAAAGACTGGAAACCCATATTAAAAGGGCCATGCAACAGCATCTGCAGGAGTGTCTCCAGTGAAAGGAGCCTGCTTTTCTGATCCGAACCAACAATCAGGGGCTGGTAATTCACTTGTAGCTTCCTTAGTACCCCTGGAAAATCAGGAAAGGTGTATTATTTACCCATCGCACGGGCATGCTGTGTATGACAGGCCACAGGTGGAAAAGCAGGACTGCTTTATCGCAGCAGCCCGTGTAGCTAGGGCACACTATGGCATGCATGACATGCTACAGACCTCCAAGCAGCTCACTCCATGGTTTGAGTAACCCTACACACTACAGTTCAAAATTATTTTCAAATCTGTCTTATTCCTTGAAGAACTTAGGAAACTAGGACAGCATATTCCCTTTGCTCCGATAATCAGCAACTCTGTAATCAGCACAATCAAATAAGGATTGCTGTCTTTCCCTTGCGTAATTAATCATTTAATTTTGGAGGCAGCTGGAGCCAGCGATGGAGGCAGAAGTCCATTATTCACTGTTCGAAATAGGCCAGCCGGACCCCCTCCCTTTAATGACAACTCAAAACCAACATAAAACCATGCAGGGTTTTATTTTTAATGTTAAACTTTATCCCTCTTAGAACATTAACTTAAAAACATCTAGACTTCAATAATTTTTAAAGCCAGCATCTTGGTGTCAAGAGTTCATAGCCAAAACATGCCACATCAATGCCAGGTTTCCACTGCACCCCTTGTATACCCAGCTACCGCCTAAGTAATTAAATAACCATGTCTTTATACCTCATTTTCTTCAGCTGCAGAGGATATGGACATGGTCAGACACCAGAGTGACCAATTGTGTTTTCTAGCAAGCACACCAGAACCAGGGCAGCCTATTCAACTTGCCACTGAGACTCTCATTCCAAGCGACAGCATGAGCCCGTTAGAGCAGTTCCACCTTTGCATATGAAACGATCCCATGGTAAAAGAAAAATCTGCAGATTCAGCATAAAGGAAAACACACATTTCATTTACTGCAGACTTATCCTTTGAGTGCTGCCTACAGGATATCAGCACCTGGCGCGTGACCATCTGTAATAAGATAATGAATATCATATATGAATTATCTTGGCCAGCTCTCTGGTTTTGACTAATTTTCTTTTCCTACAATTGCATTTTTTTGCATCAATCAGTGCCAAGCACAGCACCTTAAAAATGTAACCAGCCAAAAGTGATGGTTTCTTTCTTTTTTTGGTGTGGCAGCACTGGATGAACAACACCTACCAGTCATTCAGTACTAAGAATTTGATGCAAATAAAATAAATCCTAAACTACTTTTTCCTTCCACTTTTGTCAGGTGTTTCAAAAAAGCCTCTGTTACTCCTACAGCATTTCTGTGTCTTCCTCTTGAACATGGTCCTCCCACACTCCTGAGTCAGCCTGCTTCCCAAAGAACAACCTGGTGCAACTTTTCCATTTTTCAGGAAGCATTAACGTTAAATAATATAATGT